ACCAGCGTCTGACCAAAGAAGGACGTCTGCCGGGATCTGCCGGGCTGCAGCGTCACAGACCACGAACGCTCCAAACTTCCCACAGGAAGCTGGAGTTTCCTGCCACAGCACGCCGCCCGCCGACGGCGACTTCCTGGATGACGACCTGGACGCTTTCTTCCTGTCAGAGCCGGTCTGGGACGACCTGGCGGACGATGAGCTGCTGTGTGACATGTGTGAGGAGCTGGAGAGCCAGATCCAGGGCGTGGCTGAGAAACGGGCTCCTCTGATTGGTCAGATTCCCAACCAGAGCGCAGCTCTGCGGCCGACTGGCAGAACCGGACGGGACGACAGGATCTGGCAGCCGGAAGCTCCTCCCCCCGCAGGTACGGGCGAAGCAGCCGGCAGCTCATTGGCCGGAGGTTCTGCCTCCAGCGTCACCGTGAAGGTGAACGACACTCTGAGGTTCACAGGAAGAAAAATGGCGTCGGGCTCCACGGTCGAGTCGAGTCTGCAGGAGAGCAGGCGGGCGCAGTGGACCGCCGCGCTGCAGAGAGCGCCGCAGCAACACGCCATCAAAGACCAATTCGCCTTCAAGAGGCCGACTGACCCGCTGTCCACGGCGACCGACGACGGTAAGAGCACGATCAGTCGTGGCGAGCTGCGTGTTTGCACGTGTGAAGCGTTTCCGTGCTGTTTGCATGACCGATTTCTCGCTTCTTGCAGGTCGGGGGAAATGTTCGCCCGCCGAGATCGAGCGGAAGAAGCAGCAGGCGATGGCGAGGAGACGGCAGCGGCTGCAGGCCGCTCAGAACCTCCGAGGTGTGACGTGACGACCCGCGGGGATGAGCGCCGGGTCGCCTGCCCGAGGATGAAAGCTGGTGGACACGAGGGCAGCAGCTGCTGCGCTCTGATTGGTCCGCCGAGGGTGACTGATGTCAGCTGACGTCACTGCCGCCTGTTTTTAACTGTTTCTGTGTTTTTGGTTCGCAGTAAAATATCTGATGAACTTTGGCGTCCGATGTAAAACTAGGATGTATCTGCACGCCAGTGCGCGAGGCTGGCGCGGCATCACAGCAGCCGGGCTTCTCTCGCTCGCCGTGTTTTCACCTGCACAGGAAAACATCGTGTGGACAATCGTTGTCACGGAGAGAAGATTCCACCTGCAGTGAAAACTGAAAAGTTTCTACCTGCTGAACTC